GGTTCATGGAGGCGCCATCGAAGGGCCCGCCCACAAGGATATTGGCGCCGACGATGAAGCCGATGGCGATGGGGGCGATGGTGCCGAGACTTCCCTTCTTGGGGTCCACGGCGGTGGCGTAGACGGTGTACACGAGGCCGAAGGTCATGACGATCTCCAGCACGAGCGCCTCCCACACGCTCACCCCGGTCAGCCCGAAGGTGCCGGTCTCGAGCCCGCCGGTGGAGAAGCGGAGCAGGAGGCAGGCCACGGTGGAGCCCAGCAGCTGGGCGATCCAGTAGAGGATGCCTCGTAGCAGCGTGATGTTGCCGCCCACGAAGGCGCCGAAGGTCACGGCCGGGTTCACGTGCCCACCCGAGATGTTAGCTCCCACGGACACCGCCACAAACAGGGCGAAGCCGTGCGCCAGCGCCGCCGCGATCAGCCCCTCGGGCGTCGCAGCCCCGTCGCTCGTCAACTTGTCTGTACGCAGGCGACCGAACGTTAGCATCCAAGAAGACCACGAAAAGCCGAGGCATCCAACGAAAGACAAGATACAGGAAGAAGTTGACAAAGAAGTAGAACGCACTGTAGGCCATGCCGGAGCCTTGGCCGGCGAAGACGAAGATGAAGGTGCATATGAACTCGGCGAGCGCGGCCTTGAGTGCAGTCGGGTGGGTTGCCTCGGCCGTAGTCCCGATGGCTATCTGAGTGATCGGCATTCTTCTTCCTGCCCTCTAAAACCCTCACCACCGAGGAGCTCTTCCGCTTCAATAATGTAGTGAGCGGAGAGAGCCGAATGCACCCGGCAATATATACAGCGCGAGGAAGAGAGAGATGACCGGGAGTAGCCGGTGGTTGGTAAATGAATACCTTGTGTTTTCTCTCTTTAATATTATTCATTATTGTTGCTATAATTATTCGACTGTTGTCTCTCTCAAGGAAGTGGACTCGATTAATAAGATCCACGTGATCCGGCCCCACGCCAACTATATATTTGGTACAGCTCCAGCTTCGTCCGCCCAAGAGCTGCACTGACGCCACGTGTCCTGGTCGGTCCGACCAAGGGCCATTCGTCGATTAGGGAATCCACCACAGTCGCGCTGATGTGACCGGCACCATCTTTTCGGGGATCGGCTGTTCGATCCCGGGTAGCTTCCCGAAGCCATGGGTGACGTGTGCATCGCATACTGCTCTTGATGCCGTGCATTAGCCAGAATAAACGGGAAGCATTGGCTGGAGCAAGTGTCTCCTGTCTAAGTACGTGACGTGATCAGAGGTTGTGGTATGCGATCCACTTTCTGTATTGATGCCGGAATTACGATTACATATCTATTTATCTGAATGGACTATATATTTTCTGATGATAAGTACGCTATAAATGATGGGGTCTATCTTCATGAGTTGATATTATCTCCGTGATGGTAGCGACATTATGGTCGGAGAGGGGCCGCAATTCATATTTCCATCAAGTAGTTGATACTGTCTTAATCAAAATTGAAAGGTCTGTAAACCCCAAATAAACAGACTTAGTAAACTTGTGGCGGATAAATAATTCAAAAAAGACAAGAAATTTGCTAGCTGCTACGCGAAGCCGTGGAACAAAGATAAAGAACAGTACCTGCCCTCATCAGTGAGGAGATGAACAAGAAGAAGGACTAGCTGTCAAGGGAAACCCCATTCGCATGTGCTACAGCACACATTCCACGCTGTCCCATGGGACAGCAGTGTCAACACTGCCGCCCACTTGAAACTAGTGAGATGGAGACATCTTAAATGCTATGGGCGATAACATCCACAGGTTAGGATATGAAGTTTGAATCCACTCTGTCCTCTCGTCATTCACGAGAAAGTAAAGACACAGCATGTCGAGCGATCTCGTGGGTCAATACGGAGGAAATGATGTGAGAAAGTTATGGTAGAAAATGATTTGAGTTCGACTCGACTTCTTTTGAGATGGAACTTTAATGTATTTTTCCGTTGGATACCTAATTTGCTACCGCCAGCCACAGGCTTCATCTTTTATGTCATAGATCGAATCATAACTCGACTAGATGTATTACATTGGGTAATAAACATACATATAACACTCATCGAATACACTTACTGTGTATTCGATGTTAGTGTTAGATTATGTGAACTTTTATAATTAGATAAAATATATAATAGAACTAACTAGATTCTGATAATAGATATTAGTAAAAGAAGTTCATATTATAATAGGATTATGTTTTTGATCGGAGGAACTCTCCGATAAGATGCAGCCCAACCCAATAAGCATCCCAAAATGGGCTCATTCGCGAGCCCGTGCGGTAGCCTGCGATCAATCTCATTTCATGGTCATCCAGCATGCACAATAGGTGTCATGGTAAGGGCGTATGATATCTATTTCGGATGCAGTTCAACAGAATTAGCTGCAATTAAGAGAACCATGCCATCGATAAAGGAAACCGGTACATGGGAAGCATGGGTTCCACGTCCGATTATGAAGCCTTTGGAAGAAGAGGATGATGAAGAAGATGTAGTGAGTGCCGATAACTGAGAATGTCAGATTGACGAATTCAACAGAGAAGAAACACAATCCGGTGACTGCACATGCTCCCGCCATGCATACAAGTAGTATGGCAGGAACATCATCAGAGCTAATGATAGATCTAAGCAGTCCTTGTCATGTTGCAACATCATTAACATACGAACATTAGGTCCGCCAAAGTATTCTGTTTCGCTCCCCAATCCTGCAAGTCCATCAGTGTTGCTGTTGTGGTACTCAAATATTAAGCGATGTGGAGCTGTCATGGAATAAGATCACAAGCCAGGCTGCCTGCTGTGGAAGGCCAGCATCGCCACAGCTCTTTATTCACCATCAAGCGACGTACCCATAAAGCTACAGATTACTATTATTATTTTGAGCGATGTGCCCGAGGGTGCTGCTAACTTAGCGGCGAAAGCGCGTCTCCTCCGTGGCAATTGGCTCCTATTCGCCAGCTTCCCTCTTCCCATGGATGCAACTGTACCCTTTGGACCGTCATGAGATACGTATACATGTGACACTTCACATGTTCTCCCCGTTAGAGAGCCTCTTAAAGGTTATATGCAAAAGGAAGAGACGGTGCAACTCTTTGGGTTGTTCTGTACACTACACTCCCAAAAAGAAACCCTCATAGTAAATAAAGTTCATAGAACAGATGATTCTCAAGAAAAAAAAGGAAGATTGGAAAAAGATTGAAATTTTCTGAATTTTTTGGAGGTTCCCAATGAGAAAAAGATGAGCTTTTTAGACCGATCGATGTGATGCAACCCAAATCCAGTGAGAAGATTAAGGGGGAGAGTAATAACGGAGATGCTTAATATTGGGTAGAACTACTGATCCAAGCAGAAGCCAGTAGGTACGACGTCACATGATTCAACATGTACTTGTCTCCATATCCAAGTGGTACACAATTAAGTTCAACAAATCTACCTGCCGCTTCTAACCGCCCTCTTCCCACTTCCACTGCAAGACATGTTTAAGTCAGAGTTGTACCAAACCCTCCACACAATCTCAATTGCCTGTATTATTATTATTATTATTATGCCTTCTTAATCACTTCCTCCTATACTGGATGTGAGTTGAAGCAACAGCGTTTTAATGCAGAGGAGGTATGACGTTCTACGGTGTCCTTAAACACCCTACAGCTTAAAAGTCCATTACGGATGGCAACACCTGTGTCCCAACTCGCAAGGCTATTTTGATTACTTTGCAAGGGAAGAATTGCGGTTGGATAATTAGGTGAGAGACTGCATGTGATGGCACAAAAGGGAAGACATGCAACAGAAGTGGTGAGCACACATTAGCGAATTAAGATGTGGCATCAACTTCCCCATACCCACACGCCTAATCCACCACACTGCTTAGGCTGAACCCGTAAGAGAGGAACAAAAGAAAGCTAGCAATGATTGGGAGACTACGAAAAAAATGATGCCAAACTAAGAGGGATTGGCATCTTCACCCACGATGCATGTATAGTTTACATGCTCTCTCGCAGTGAAGCTAGCAGCAGAGCTTAGTATCTTGCGTGCTTGGCAATGTTTGCCAACTAGCCGTACCGATATACGCCAGGAGGGAATCTATCATTTAATATGGTTTAGGTAGGGGAGAGAGTGAAATAACTAGTGGGAACGTGAGCAGAGTGAAGTGGAGAGAAAGGAGAGAGAGGAATCGATCAACCCCACCAACTGATGTCTCACGACTTAATGTTGGGAGAAGCTGAAGCTTTCATGCCTCACACAACCAACCAAAACGAGCTACTTAGCTTCGCTCGTCTCCGCCTCCCATTGACTTAGAACATCGTAGGAACATGCGTTACACACCAACCGGATATATAAATGTGTGTGCCATCATTTACCAACAAACCGTCCATTTGTTTGAAGCCGTGAATCCTGTGGCTAATCATCGTGATTCCTTATTTTAAAGCCACAAAGTTCTCCCCCAGTCTCTAATCATGCAAGAGAGAGAAATCTCTTCCAGCGCAAATCCAGTTAATTGCTTAGCCAAATTACATCTGCCGAGTCATAGTTAAACGAGTCCTGCAAAAGCATATGTTCTCGACTGCTGCTGGTCTGAACAATTTGTGGTACCGATACATGCGTCCGCCGATTTGACTTTATCGGTCTCTGTTGCGATGTTTGCAGAACAATTAGTACCGCACGATCGCAGAGGACGTGACGAAAGGAATACGAGCTACTTCTCGAGAACCGAAGAAGAGTGCTCGTCGACGAGGATAGCTGGTCCTTTACTTGATAAACCACTAGAAGCAATCCATCAACATACACGTGTGCCTTGCTTGCACCACTTGCCGTCACCTTCATCTTTACCTCCGTCGAGGGGTTCGCATAACCAGCCCATGGCAAACTGCACCCAGTTGAGCGAGCAAGGAAGGAAAGGCTCGCCACACAAGGCATCGGTGAGGTCGCTTGAGAGACGGTCGCGTTCTCGACTTTGTTACTGACTCACCTGCACACTCTTTTCACCACCACCTGTGATGGGAGGAATTGAAGAGGCACATGACTTGCATGGTGCCAACCTTTTCTTCGAGTCTTCGTTGTCACCATCTCCTCTGCCCTCTGACAGTTTGTGTGGCCAACTCCTATCTTTACAAATCTTAGCTAAGCGAGAAAGAGTGCACACAAACTCCAGGATTAGGCATTTCGTTTGGTGTTGTGGAGTCCGTCCCCTCTGTCCTTTGCTATTGTTCCTCGCCTGCTCCTCCCTTCACTCCACACCTCTCCTGTGTCCACCTAATTTCCCCCATATTTAGGGCTTAAACCCATGTCTGCAAACGAGTGAGGACAATTCATGGCTGTGTTCTCCTCTTAGAATAGCAAGGGGCGGCCATTTGACTCCCATCTGTTGCCGTATAAATATATACATAGAGACACATCCTCCATAAGCATTGTTAGTATTGAGCACCTTCTCCACTCACTCTCTCTTGGTTTCTCCACCTCTTCCCCCTGGTTCCAAGGGAGATGGAAGCTCCAGAGGAAGCCTTGGCCTCCAACAGCAGCGACAGCATATCCAACGGCGAATTCGTTCATGCTGTGGTCAAGGGCAAGCGCACCAAGCGTCAGAGGACGCAGCCGCCGCCGCCGATGCCACAGGTCCTGTCCACCGGGGTAGCCGACTCGTCCTCCGCCTCCTCGGCCGAGGCCGCCTCCGGGACCATCACCGAGGAGGAGGAGGACATGGCGAATTGCCTCATCCTTCTCGCCCAGGGCCGCGCCTTTGACACCGGGCCTAAGCCGGAAGAGCACAAGGACGAAGCTGGAGGCGGCGGCGGTGGGTCCGAGAAGTTTACGAGCCGAAAGTTGATCGAGGCGGCGACGACGACCAACGGCAAGGCTGGAATTTACGTGTATGAGTGCAAGACGTGCAGCAAATGCTTCCCGTCGTTCCAGGCGCTCGGCGGGCACCGCACCAGCCACAAGAAGCACAAGCTGGCTGCCACCACCACGACGGCGGAGGAGAAGAAGCTCGAGGTCACCGACGACATGCTGCAGATCAGCATGAATTCTTTCTCGAAGCCATTTGCGAGCAGCAGCCAGACTCCCACAAAGCCGAAGGTCCACGAGTGCTCCATATGCGGATCGGAGTTCAGCTCCGGGCAGGCGCTCGGAGGACACATGAGGCGGCACAGGCCGCTGGCCATCGCCGACAGCCAAGAAGCCAAGAAGGACAAGAGCTTTCTTTCCTTGGACCTAAACCTCCCCGCTCCCGCCGACGACGAGCTCCAGAGGCCGCCTTCCCCGACGCTGGCATTGGCCACCAAGAGGCCTTTCATCTTCTCGGCGTCGGCATCGGCACCGGCCTTAGTGGTGGATTGCCATTACTAAGGAGGCCGCTTTGGGCTAATGGAAGCAAAGCTGTCCAGTAGCACAAATTCTTTCCTTGCTCTGTTCGATCACAACTTGGGCTAATGTGGCTTATGTGAATAACTCTTAATATTTCTTTGCAAGTTCATATCGATTAATTGATCCAAATTTCTTCGAATTCTTTGATCCATTTAGCTCTTTGTCGTCTTCCCTTTTCTTTTTTCCCCATTTAAGATGGATATATGTTTTGCCTTTTGGGAGGAGGAGAGAGGAGAGGTGCCATTGCGTTCACGTAAAGGGAGAGAGTCTCTTTCCCTTTTTTTGCCCCCTCTCGCTTTCAACGAGTTAGATGAGTTTGGTTTCTCCACCACCCAGATTAGGTTCGGCCTCCCACGAGTTTGTTTCGTTTGTAAGACATCCATGGAGTGATAGATATCTGGTGAGGCCAACTTGTACACTCTCATCGCCTTTTCACTTTCCATGACTCCTTCAAGCTTCATACTCTTCTTCATCTTGGTTGACTATTAGCCACCGCGTCCACAACATGCACTAAATAATTTGCCAAGAACATAGTTAGATGCATCTATTCACATTGTAAACGAGCGTCGCAGTAAGTGGCAGTGCCCGAACAGTTCCCAATAGTATTTTTACTGGGAGCTCTTTATACCCAAAGTGCACGCAATCACATCTCATCGCAAACGTGAGGCCGAGTTGCCCCCGTCGTTTGCCTAACGCCACACCGATGAACCCATCGCCCGTCGCTCCCAACCAGCAGAGTCCGACGTCTAATCTGAATCAGCACACGTGAATCACGAAGCCCTCTCACTGTGGCTTTAATTATTGTGATGGACCGAGTACAATCGAAGAGAAACCATACTCCTCCGCTGCACCTTTCGTTGCTTGCTCGTTTCCAAGCTGTGATTACATGACATGCTCCCATGTAGTGTGTGTGTGTGTGTGTGACCACTACATGAGAGTTAAGTGCACGTTTGGAGACTGAGTTGGGCTGCCGAGTATTATAGTGTACTGCTGCCTTCTCAAGTGGTGGTGGCATGGCACCACCACTCAAGGAAGTGCAGCTAAGCTGCCAGTTGTGAAGGAGCAAGCTCTCGTGTGCTTCGCACTCTCGGCTATGCTTCTGCTAACACCGTCGAGAGTAATCTAATAGTTCGCGTCGTGGAATTGGAATTAGCTACGGCGGCAGTGGTTGCAAGTCGTCGCTAGCTAAAGATTCGCTCGGCCAGTGTGGCATTTGCCGTTTACTATTGGTGGCAGCATTAAATCGGAAATGAGTTTGCATATGCTTCTACTTTATTTAGCCCATTAAGCATCGAGATGTTTATTCTTATGGAGGGACGTGAAGAAAAGGGCATTCGGAACTGCAATTTGAAATTACACATTACCGATCAAGCTAATGCCTGCTCGACTTTTTGAAAAGGCATCGGTTTATAATGGGCCTTTGTTGGGCCTCATCCTCGGGGCAATGTTACGACATTTTTGTTGATATGAATAATTTAGTTGCTTACAAAGTTTTCTCAAATAGTCAATTATTTAATGATTTTCGCATAAATTAGCTAATTTATTATGAGTTGTCGGGACCCTCTCCTCCATGAAAATAATAGGCATATGATACTTTAGGTGACAAGCATACGGTGATATTCGCTTGGGATAAACAGAAGAAGGAATTTTGTATATAAGCAAATACAAGTAGGCCGTAACATATATCAAAATTAAATAAAATCATAATAAAATAGGATATCAAGATTTACGTGAAAAATTCCACCAACGTGAAGGGTAAAAATCATGGGGCAAACCAGAGAAAATCCACTAAATATAAAAATATCAAAGTCTCTTACCCAAAACCTAAGCAATAATTACAAGAGAATAACTATGATACAAGAATTACGTCACCGTGCACTATATCCAAAATCTCCCCAAGTAATCATAGCAAGAATCTACTATGGATCTGATCTGATCTGAAATGAGCATGCTGCCTGGATAATTGAGAACAGTCTCTCTGCATTATCATTGTTTTCTTTCCTTTTCTTCTCTTATTTTTCTATCATTTCCTACTACTGTTGCTTCTCTATTTTTCGCTGTTTTCTTTTTCTTCGCTAGCCGTCACAATTTTTAGTTAAAAGGATTAAGATTTTAGATTAAATAAGAAAGGGTTAAAGCTAAAATAGACTGTGGATAATTAAAGACCACTATGAGCTGTTAGCCCAACACCCTGGACCAATGACCTAAACATTACCCGAGAAACATAACTATGTGAATGCATGAGGTATAGTTAAAAAGAAAATTAAATATTATGCTGGAAACACCAAACAAAGTTCTACACAGAAATTGTTCGTGACATGATTGAATATAAATAACCATCTTTCCATGGTTTTTCTTCCTTGTATTATGCTTTGTGTTGTCAATCAACCGAATCGTCTGTGGTTCAATGTTTTTGTTCTCCGGATCCTTGTGTTGACTGGTAGCCTAATGAGTTCAGGAAGGAGAAGAGAGAGAGAGTTATCAGGATCGGGACATTCACGGGAGGCTCTCTCCCCAGCGCACATTGTAGATAAGAGGGTTGGAGCCGAATGGGTTCACGTTTTGGTTATTTAACCCTCTTCACTGCACATTGTGGCTACAGGGTTGGAGCCCAATTGCTTCGTCATCTTTACTAGAGTGCACGATCAATAAGCTTTAAGGATAGTTTCTTGTTCTTGAGCTGCTTAAAAATGTACATAGTAAAGCATTCTTTTCCTTCTTCTTGTTGATCAAATGCCAATGTACAAGTGATGGAGGGCCAGTGTCGCTGGACCTCAGGGTCTCAGGAGTCCTGATGGTGATTTAGTTGGTGGGTCTGTCCTACCTTCCTTCGACACATAGATGCGTTCTTACCTCGATGAAATCTGCAAGAGTAAATAGGATCGCTGGTAACACTATCGTATGAGGTGAAGCTTCTTGAGCTCCATATTGAGAGAGAGAGAGAGAGAGAGAGAGAGAGAGAGAGAGAGTTTATACAACATCAGTTTTATATATTCTATACTAATTAAAACTTATCATAAATACATTGAATCTTTATGCCTTCAATACATACTTTCAAAATACTTACCAAAAAAAAACAATGAATGGGTATCAAATATATACTTTATACGTATAAAGTTTATACAACATCAGTTTTATATATTCTTTAAATCATAGCATGCTAATATAACTTTTCAAAGCACGATACATTTTTCATAACAAAAATATAAGTATAATTAATGTCTCATATCAGAGTATAACATATTGTAATGTAAGGAGTACAATTTATATAAATATAACTAAGGGTTCACAAACATAATAAATATAGCTAATATGTACATAACGTAAGTCTTAGTAGTATTAATGGCTACAACTATGTTATATCCCTGTGCCAAAGCCTAGAATCATGTTTAACCCTCATGGTACAAGCAACATATATCTACTTGTGTCAGGGTTTTAAAAAACCTAGTTATAAACAAATACCAATATTTAACCCCCATTAATAGGATCATGCTCACTAGACAATTGTCACGTCGTTAAAAATAACATATCAATTACTTTTAACATACTAAAAATTTTAATATCTCTTTTTGTATTTATTTCAAAACTAATGAAATCATATCACTTAATGTGTCATCCGTGACCGACAAACAAAATCTTTCCTCATCCAAGTAAAAAACAAAAAGAGATTTTCATGAGAATTATTTACCATTTTGAATCAAAACTATGTGATCAATATGGCATTAATTGGTTTTTAAAAAAAAATTATAAAAATAATTTATAAAAAATAATTAATTATAAATATTTTATTTATTATTAATAGGAGAATTATTTTTCTAATAGTGACTCGACACATATTAATACACAATCAATTATTCAAGGGCAAGATTCTATGATCAAGGTGGACACTAACTAACTCAAAAGTAACACTTATATCAGAAATGACAAAGAAGGAACATTCTACTAAATATTCTTCACTATTAGCACTTTACAAAAGTTATCTTGACGATCAAATATTTATTGTTTATTAAATTTATTCTACTCTTATCAATTATTAACTTGAGTATTAAAAAGATCAGAGAAAATTTTATTCGACCACTGTCTTTATGCAAGTCAATGGTAAAGTATGCATCCAAGTTCACCTCATTTCCCATGCATTCTAGCCACCTTAACAATCATGTCAAACCTCTCATGTACATCGATTCAAACCAAGTGGTCATGTGTTATAACCTTCCACCTACAATGACACCCTCCTAAAATCATAGGCTAACTTAGAAAGCCAATGAAGGAATTCATTTTCTACTCTTGAAAGCTGTCATCCTATTTTTCTTTTAAGTAACACCTTTGCATAACATAGCTAACATCTATCATTTCAACTTAGAAACTGTTGCTTAATCAGGTGTGCCATTGTCCTGCAAGTATAGGGTTCGGCTACCCATATTTTTATTTATTTATTTATTATTTAACAAAAGCTTGTTCAAAAGAAATTATCCTTTTTCGATATGGTTGATATTGAATTGTTGAGATCTATTTTAACGGTGTAGCTATTAAGATCTCACGAATCCAAAATGAAAAAAAAAAAAGAAGCTTTTTAATGTAGTGAAAATATATTATTTTCCGAGGGATATTCCATTTAATTTATCTTGGTTTGTTAAAGTTGAATTTACTAGAAAATACATTGCCGAACCTTCTTTAAATGAATTCTTGAAACGATGTAGCTTATTAAAAGAACAAGCAAATAAATTATTCGTGGCATCATACATTAGAAAAAGAGCAAAACATTCAAAACTTGAGGTTGATTTGTTGGGGCTCCTCTTCATAGAGAAGCTCCTTCGAAAAAGTGTTGGGTTTGCTGCTTGGAGTGGCAAGCAAGCAGTATTCTTTGTGAAAGGCGAAAGAATAATAATTCACTTTGTGTAGAGTCGCTTGTACAATAAACAGTTTAAATATATTAAGCTTAAATATATTAAACTGTCCATTTCCTATTTATTTCTCTCAACATAATAGAGAATTTTTCTCAATAAAAATATTTCCTCATATAGTTGAGGAAATCTTATCTTCCCCGCAAGATGGTACTCGCTATTACGATTGCTATTGCTGTGAGGGCACATGCGTTCCTTTCGTTCCCCTTAAATCCGTTCTTTGTTCCCCTTAAGTCCG